GACTAGAGGAAAGGCAGCTAGTCATCACCACCCACCGCCAACTCTTTTACCAACGAATAATGGGATTGACCGTCACATTATAACGCCCCCACGGCTGAAAGGGCGAGCATGTTTGGTGTAACGGGGATTCGAACCCGCGACCCTCAGATTGCAAGTCGAGCGCCTTAACCACCTGGCCATGCCGGCCTTGTATTTAGTAGTATCACTTATATTGTGTAAAAGGATTTTAGGGACACCGTATGATAAAAGTTAAATTTCAGTAATCAAACATTAGAAAAAGGCACATAAATGCTTTGACCATTTTCATAAGTCACAAAGAATGTCTAATCATAGCCTATAATGAAACAAAAAAGGCATTAAATATCATTAGAATCGAAAGGTACTTTCTGCATAAGTTTATCAAATGGAAAAACCTCAGTTATGGAATACTTTTTGAAAATATTTCAGTCGAATGTTTTTAGAGCTTTCTAAAAAATAACGATCATAAGTATTCGTTATTAACTGTGCAAGAGCACTACTCAACCTACGTGATACTTAGTGGACAAGATAAATGAATATTTTGGTATGAGTAAAGGTTATCTGTGCACTTTCAACTTTCAAAGATATTATCGATTTTATTAATGTGCCTTCACTTGTTGCAGTGCAGATAACAATTTAAGTGTAAATATTTCCTTAAATAAACTGAGTTTTCCCCCGTACGAAATTTCACTGAAATCCTCTAATAAGCTGCTCTACTTTCTATACGAAATTTATAGCTTTTATGATTCGGTTAGCGAGAAGCATATAATTGGTGAGTGAGTGTAATGATTTTACCTCATTTACTTTTTTTTTAATTGGAACAATATTTGGTAACTATCAACCAACCAGCAGCTATGATGAAAACACGCTTGATTGTCAGACCGAATAGTGAGATTTGACCGTCACTCTTATAAGGCACTCACGTCCCCAAATTGCAGAGCACCACTATAAAAGTCTCAGTTGGTTTAATGCATTTATCTTAGCCAAAAATGTTTCTTTGTTTGAAGTTAAACAATAAAGCTACACAATGGGCTATCTGTGCTCTTCCCACCACGGATGACCCCCAGTGGCACAGCGGTATGTCTGCGGACTTACGACGCTAGAAATCGGGTTCCGATACCCATGGTGGGCAGAGCACAGATAGCCCTTGTGTAGCTTTGGGCATAATTAAAAACAAACAAACAAACCCACCACGAATATCAAAACCCAGTTTCTAGCGTTGTAAGTCCGCAAACATACCGCTGTGCCACTGGGGACCCCAAAAACGTTAACATTATTTATGAGATTTAGAATTGTGATAGCTATATTCAAAGACCAAACACCACACTTTGTTGGCCGGGCGTGGCCTAGATATTAGCATACTGGGCTGTGAATCCGATGGTCACTTGATTCGCGCCCCATTGCCGAAACACTCGCACTCCGTACTTAGAAGCCGAAGATGCATTGTAAGAGGTATGAACATATTCCACTGTGCAATTAGAGTCGCCCAAATTTTGGCAGTGAGCCTGTGGACTAGCTGCTTCCTTTCTAGTTATCAGTTCAAAATTAGAGGCTCTGGCATAGTCTGGTGGTTAAGGCGCTCGAATTGTAATCTGCGGGTCGCGGGATCAAAACTAGTCGCCAAACATGCTTGCTCTTTCAGGCGTGGGAGTGCTGAGTGCTATAATGTGACACAAATCCCACTGTTTGTTGGTAAGGAGAAGCCCAAGTGTTGGTGGTGGGTGGCGTTGACTAGCTGACTTCTCTCTAGCTTATTACTTCAAAATTAGGGACGGCCAGTGCAAATAGCCTTCGAATAGTTTTGCGCGAAACATTGAACAAACAAAAAATTAGTTACGTCGGTTAGAGATAGCTCTTGTGTAGCTGTTTGTGAATATCGAAAAAGAAACAAAACTTGTTAGTTGTATGTTAAATAAAGAACTAAAATGATTGTATCAACCAGCATATTTTATTAAACCAAAAATATATCTTTGTTTGTTTGTTTTTTATCTCAGGAAAAACAAACGATGGCGAAGAAGATGGTTAATATTTTGGACCTTGTAAAAACTCCTGCCATGCGAAAGAGAAGCCTAATCATGTTCGGCGTTTGGTATGTGTTATCCAACTTGATGGATTATTCGCATAAACAAAAAAACTGTCGTTCATATCAAATTATATTCGTCATACTTTCGTGCACTAAACTTAAGCAGTCAGATCTTAATCTTGTTGAAATTCTGAGGACGTAAATGGAATTTATAGTGCAGAATTACAATAAAAATGATCGATCTCAAATACCTTAAAATATTACGGACATTACCCATGGTGGATAGAGCGCAGATAGCCCATTGTGTGGGTTTGCATAGTAACAACAATTCTTAAGTCAAATAGTTCTTCCCATCAGAGTAGGCTCTTACTAGTTTCTCACACAATTTATCAAATTCCGTAAACAAAGATATATTTTGAAATTAAAGATAACTTTTTTTTTTTACAGTTATTGATATGTTGTTTGTACAGGTTTGTCGACTCCTGTGTCTTTTACGCCATTGCTCTTGGAACCACCGACTTAGGAGGAAATCCATTTGTTAATTTTTCTGCTGTAGCGGTCGTCGACTTTCCTGCTGGCGTCGCCTGTATTTTTATTCTTCGACACTTTGGAAGAAGAACACCGATAATGGCATCTCTAATGACTGTTGCTTTGGCATGCTTAATATCTGCCGCCCTTCCTGAAGGTACCTAGAAATGAGATTTCTAAGGTTTTAAATCTTTCTAAACATAGATGCAACTGAGAAAGCGATGTATAAGCATTACTAGCAAAAACATTGTATAACAAACAAGGCTGAACTGTGTAAAGTTGTCACAGAATAAATATTTACTGCACACAAATATTTTCACAAACTTGCAACAAAATTAAAATTAAAATAAAGTGCAATTCGATTGTTACATTGTATACCGAACAGTATAATGAAGAAGTATAAAATTAGAGTCAAACCATTTTCCACAGAAAATTTAACTGGCTTTGTTGTATTTGAGCAGATCCCAACTGGATTCGAATACTCCTAGCAATGTTAGGTAAGTGTGGTATATATTCGGCTTTCCTCATTACGTACGTGTGGACAGCAGAGCTCTTTCCCACTGTCATCCGCAGCCTCGGCCTCAGCACCAGCTCTATGAGTGCCAGACTTGGCTCCATTACGTCGCCATTTTTGGGCCATCTAGTAAGTATATTTTCAGCATGCGTGGATAAATAAATAAAATTTCTCAGGAAGTTCAGCTTGTGAATGTTGTTCCAATAAAACAGATTCTCTTTTGTTAAGGCTTAAGCAACTCAAATCACATATTTTATGTAACAAAATATAAACAAGAGGAGTCATAAAGAACTAAGTGTTTTTTGTTTTGTTGTTGTTCTTGGCTCTAGTGACTTTTAATATATACTAAAACGTGCTCGTTTATTATATTATAAGCATATTATAATCAGCCTCTTTAAAACGACAAACCAGTTATAGTTAGTTAAGTTTGTTATAGTATTTTAATCGTGATCTTGTATGACATATAACAGAAAAGGCTATTTTAGCTTCCACACTATATATAGATAGATAATGTTATAATGTTCAACACAATATACATCCTATCGTATAGCGCTCCGTTTATTATTAAGATGAGACTGATTTATTAATTAATACCGCGTCTTACTCTTTAGTGGTATAAATGTTCATTGAAGGGCACCTGTTAATTCAGTCACGATATATATGGTGAAGAGTAATGGTTAAGGGTCACTAGCCGGTTATAAACACAATTCACATTATTCCACTGCTAGGGTAAACTCACTCATCGTTCCGTACCATTTGTGGTGTGTGGAAGTCTTCCGTTGGTGGTCGGAGTAACTGTGCTGTTTCTTCCCGAATGTCACCATCACATGATGGACACAATAGAAGAAGTAGAAGGTCATAGAAAGTAAGTTAACACTATTTGTTGGTTAAGAAACTAGGAAGTTGACAGGTTTTCATGTGTGTAATCCAGGACAGCCAATAGGTATCGGCTTAATTAACAGTTTTCGCGCTATGTTGGTTTATAAGATGGAATCACTCGTTACAGACGGAGTAGCGGACAGATAGAACAAAAAATGTACATTAAATGGTCAACGTATTGGGGCTGCTGGCGGCAGATACCAAAGTTAGGACGAACGATATTAATAAATCTCATTGTTTATCTTTACTTTGATTCCCGTTTTGTTTTACTAGAAGAAATATCATGAAAATAACCAGTCCACACCACAAAACAAACATAAAAGATGACTCATGTTTACAGGGAGACTCTTCAACCCTGAAATTGCCGAATTATTATTTTTTCGTTCTGTTTAATGCTGTCGGAATATGCGTCACATGGAGTAATTTTATGTTTTTGCCTATTAAAACATTTAATGTAAATAAATGTCTGGAGAAATATTTTATTTTCTATGTACAATATACAAGAATCTGTATCAGTTATCAGTGGTAATAATTCCAATAATGATAACATTCTTTGTTCACATTGTTGTGCGATCCACATATTATTAAGGTTCTTGTATCCAACAAAGTCATTATCTCACATGGAATTTGTTGCATAAATAGTTCTAAAATGTTTCAAAAATCTATGGATCTATATGGACTTCCATCGGTAATTTTACGGTTAAGAAAATAAATACTTACTCAGTATAATATATATTTAGTGCTTCAAAGTTTGTTTTGTATTTTCGAACAAATTAAAAGCTTGAATGAGATTTTAGACGTTGTTCATTCTAATAGAAAAGTTAGCCTAACAACATAATCAGTTATTCCCAAGAATCTCGCGGTGCTCAAATGATATATATCAATATTTTTACTTTCATACCACTACTTGTAAAGAAATAGAATGATTTTATAGATTGCCATTGTTAGAAATATAGGCCCCACGGTTCAAGTTTACGGACTTACAATGCTAAAATCCGAAGTTGATTCCCTGCCTGTGGACAGAACAGAGATAGCTCATTGTGTAGCTTTGCGCTAAAACAACAACATAAACATAAGCGGTATGTTTGTAGATTTACAACTCTAGAAACCAGGTTTCGATACCCGTGGTGGGCAGAGCACAGATAACCTTTTGTGTAGCTTTGTGCTTAACTACAAACATACAAACAAATAAACAAGCGAATTAGTTGAAATGTAATTATGAGGAACGTACTGCTTAATACTATAAGTGTCTGAAAAGTTTTTATTAACACACACAGTAAAGATTATGTGTTACATTTGTTTCTTGAATTCAAGAAATTTTGAAACCTTTTAGAATGTATAAAAGTGGGTAAATCTCAGGTAAACAGACCCACTAACCCAAGAACTTACATAAGGTGGACCGTTGTTTTTCAAAGGATGAATTGGGAAGTTTTGTAATTAAAAATGCACATTAATTCATCCATGAAAATGAAACGTTTTACCTTCCTAAAGTTCTTGGGTTATCAATGTCTTTAGTAGCGATGTCATTATTTTCTAAATTATTCATAACTCAAAGCAGCTGGCTTATTTCAGAGCTCAGTGTTGTCCATTATACATGCTAGTAACTCAGATTAAGCTATAGATTTTCTTATTAACACTAGAAATTGAATTAATATTTTAAATTAAATCACTACACATTATATATACCCTGTAATGATCAAACGAAGAAAATGAGACATCTTTTAACTTTGCTTTCAGAATACACAAAATCGAACTTGAAAATATTTACCCTAATAAGACTGGGCGAGAGCAAATCGAGTCGCACAAAGTAAATGTTTTTATTAAGTTAAATAGAATAAATATTTGGCAGAAAATTATTAGTAAAAAAAATATATAAAAAAACACTGTTACAATATAAACACTTCTCTCAAATGCTTTTACACCAAAAACTATCCGGGTATCACATAATTAAAAATTAAATACAATTTAGAAAAGATCTTGTTCTGAGATGCACGATGTGGAGTACGTATATAGAACAAGAAAAATTATGACAAAAAACTGAAAGTATATATTTGTCTTTTTGTTTGTATTTCAGTGATATAGAAAATTCATCGTATCCACCACCAGTAATGAAAAATGAAATTGAAGAAGTAGACCCTTTGACAGTTCAGATGTTGTAGAACTACATTGCATAAATGTGACACATACGTGTTAAAACTAGTCCACAGATCGGAGACGAAGCTCCTTGTACGCAGAAGATGTGGTAATAATGCAAGTCTGTCTTCTTCCCAAACAGTATGGGATTCAGATTAGGAGTGTCCACTAATTACGGGAACTACTTTTTAAACTATTAAAAAACGAATTTTCTATTTTTGAACATATCTAGTTTGATCATATGTAGAGTTTTTAACGAAATAAAATATCGTGACATATTTTTACGTACAACTATAGCAGTTAAACCTGTCATATTTAACAAAAACGTTTCATAAAACTATCATTAAATCAAATCGATTAAAGCAACAAAAAGCCTGATGATAATTTAGACCATATTATTATTTACTGGCTTACATAATAATAGTGAGTTAAAGTATTTCAAGCATAACCTGTCTGTTGAAACGCAATTTATATCAGTCACTCATGTTACGTTATTGGAACTACTTTTTATACAAGAACATCCGGAAGTTTGATGATGAGGAATAAACTTTGAGACTAATAAAGTTCAGAGACGGCTAGAATAGGTAATGAATAAGCTTCATTATAATTTTAACGCAGTAACCTGATAATGACAAAAACCTTGTCGAAATGTTGTACATTTGTTACCGTGTTAAACTTGTCATAACGTTTTCTACGTTAAACATTCAAATCGTCTCTAAATTTGAATAAACATCAGGAATAAATCTTCATATTGGGTTTATTAATTAAAAGACGGCCCCTTGATTGAAAATTTTGAATCATATAATGATACGTCTATCTGAGAGGGTTATATGAGTAACGCCATCTAGCGGGAAAGAAGCATTTTTCTGTACAATGTTTTTTTAATAATTATATGTATAACTACTTATTTACAAATAAATAATAATTTTGGGAATGTTATCCTAAATTTTTGCAGTTTTGCTACCCACTAACGAGTAAGTTAATTTATGACAATTATGTGTATGTGAGTTATTCATCATTACCTGGAATACATTGAGTTGCAATATATAACACACACGTAGGTTTAATCTAAAACTTCCATGCAGTAAGGAATGGACAAAACTAATATGCCTAAAAGTAAAAAAAAAAATTCTAGCGTTATAAGTCCGCAGACATACCGCTGTGCCACTGGGGAACTACTCGAGGACTATGTGCACTAGCTATCCCGAATTTACCAGTGACAGACGAGAGGGAAGGCAGCTAGTCAATACCACCCACCGCCAGCTCTTGGGCTACGCTTTTACCAACGAATAGTGGGATTGACCTTCACATTATAACGCTTCCACGGCTGAAATGGCGAACATGTTCGGTGAAGAGAATTTGAAACCGCTACCCGTGAATTGCGAGTCGAGCACCCTAACCACCAGTCAATGCGAAACCCCTGATGCAAGTGGACGCCAACCGTGTACCCTTGGATTTACAGTCCGGCACATTAACTACTAAGCCACGCCCAGCCAAATATGAATGAAATCAGAGTATTGATGTTTAAATAATGTAACTAGATATAATAAACCAACACTTTCGTTTCCAGAATATCTGTAATGAAACAAAATCTAAAATACACAATTTATCAAAGTCGTTACTGGTTTTGTTTTTAAAAATGCATTTCAAATATGAAATTTAAAACATATTAAAAACTCTATTCAGGCGGTTAACGTTTGTTTGGTTAGAATAATCAGTTCATTCACATCTTTTCTTCTGGAACCCTCGTGCAACTTAGGTTGTAGCATCTACTGCTAAGAGTGTTAACAAATCCATCTATTTTGCTCGTCATTGTAAATAAAAAGGGGGGAAATACCGTTATTTATTAGTTCTTTCAAAACAAATTTGCTAATAATTCTATAAATAAATCAAACCAATA